ACATGACAATGACATGACAATGACATGACAATGACATGACAATGACATGACAATTATAATGGCAATGGCAATGATAATGATTATGACAGTTGCAATGGCAATAGCAATAACAATGAAAATGACCATGACAATGACAATGAAAAGGGCAATGACAAGGGAAATGGCAATGGAGATGACATTGATTTTTATAGTGACAACTATAACTATAACGGCAATTACAGTTATCATGACAATTACAATGACCATGGCAATGACAATGGCAATGGCAATGAATATGGTAATGATAACGATAACGACAATGACGGTAACCATGACCATGACCATGGCAATGACCATGACAATGGCAATGATTATGATAACGCCAATAATGACAATGATAGTAACCAGGACCATGACAATGACCATAACAATGGCAATGATGATGGCAATGGCGGTGAAAATTGTAGTGGCAATGACAATGATTATTACAATGGCAATGGCAATGGCAATGGCAATGGCAATGGCGATGGCGATGGCAATGGCAAAAGGCAATGGTAATGGCAATGGCAAGGGCAAGGGAAAGGGCAATGGCAACGGCAATGATTATGATAACGATAACGATAACGACAATGACAATGAGAGTGATAATGAGAGCGATAATGATAGTGACGATGACGATGCCTTTGATTCTGATTCTGATAACGATAATGATTGTAATGATTATTATAAAAATGCCTATCCAGTTAACAGTGACCTCATTAAATATCTTTGAAATCGTTTTAACCTAAGAATGTTGTTATACGAACGCAACTCACTGTGACCAAAGTAAAAAACAAAATTAAAGAAAATCTCTCACCTCGACAGAATAATAGTCGTCTGATACGAAAAGCGAGGTCGTCGGCGATTTCGTTCAAGTTTGCCTCGGTAAGTTCCATTTCGATTCCATCCCTTGGATCAGACACAATGCTCTTCAGTTGATCTATTCGCTGTGTGCCGTTTACGTTGGGAATAATAGCACCCACAAGACTGATGTTGTTATCTCTTATCACTCTCTCTGTATTTTGGAGCTGGAAGGTGTCCAATATCTCCCCATCGCCGTTTTCTGTATTTCCGTCAGTGAAGAGCACAACGATCTGAAAATAAGGAGGAGATTTAAGTCCGCGTTGAAATTAAACCCAAAAATGGAAGAATGATTGACCAGGATAAAGGTTTAGGCACATTTTTAATTCAAGGAATTCTGCGTAAATTTTCATATCTGGTTTGGCAGTGAAACCACAAGGAAACCACTTGGCTGGACCTTGTAGTTTCACTCTAGTTTTGAACATTGTTGAAGTCATTTCAACAATCAATAAGGTTACAGACAATGGAAATTTGTGATTGACTGCTACGAACTTCCAAATTCCAGTATGAGGTATGTTGCCCCCGCCCCACCCCTCCCATCTCAAAATCCTGAACGTAACCCTATACCTTCGCTGGATCTTTACCCTTCCTGTGAGCTGAACGTTCGGCGAACTTCTCTGGGACTTGATTTTTCAGGACGCGAATTAAGCGGTTGTAGGGGCCAAGTCCTCCTTTGAGGTATTCATAATTCACGTAGTAGATTGCACTAGCTGCTGAACCCCAACTATTCATTTTTGTC